ATCATCTAATTAGAAGAAAACTGAACTGACTTTGCCCGTGTCCAGCGCTTTTTCGTTTCACTTTCTCCGGTGAAAAATCAGTTTCTTTGCACAACAACTTAGATGATGGTACTGAGTACCTGAAAATAATGGTTTCAAAACTTAAAATACGTGATTCTTTCCTAATCTTGCCTGTAATTTGACAATAAGCAATGTATTTATGAAAAAACAAACATAATTTACATTTATTGCTCGCTATAATATCTGCAATAACGAATAAAAATAAATATGAGTGTACTAAACAGTTCCGCAAAGATTCTTAAATTCCAGCATGAATAAACATATATAGAAGGATGAAAGTAGTAGATTGTATATTTTCACTTGACTGAAATTTAATTCTTGTGTAACTATTAAGAAAAAAGTTTTACCTTGAGAACTGATAAGGAGGAAGATGTAAGGGTGTACGTCGCTCATTTTCAGGTTGGTTCCACCAAGATAGTGCACCTGGAAGATCTAATGGTATCAATTTCGGTACCTGAAGAAAAAAACTTGTCTAAAATCTAAATCCAAATAAATTTGTCAATATTTATAATTCTTTTCGATAAAATAAACGGCAAAATAATGCTCAAATTTTTGATACGCTTTTCCATTTTACTTATTATAAAAAAGCGCTATAGATTTATCCAATCAGCAGGAATCAAAGCAGATACAATACAAACACTGCATTATTATTACAAAGTATCACTTAATATAAATTTAGCTCATAAAGTAGAAAGAATGACATTTTGTTGATGAAGAGCTGTAAATAACAGAAACTTACCAAATTTTCAAAACATCCGGGAAATGCTTCACTCTGACGAATCGGTAAGTAATGGAAATCACACATAGATTTGAAGGTGTACACTGTCGAGACCTACAGTTACGTTTCTTTAAAAATTTTTATAGATTGTCTGAAATCTTCATCTCAAGAAACTCTTTAGTTTTTGTGTGGAAAAACAATTCATCAATCGCAATAGAAATTTTAAAATACCATTCCAATCACTTTTGCTTGCACACAGTTCGGATCTGACTTTTTGCGCCGTACAGTTGCAACACATAATACTGTCCCAGTACCACCGAATGATTTCTCCGCTGATCCTCTCTCTGATACCAAAGCATTTGTGTAGAGATTTTTTGGGTTATGTCGCAGTTCAAGCGGACGACCAGCAAAATGGTTCTAGAAAGAGACTAAATGAGTACTAGCATTATTAGGAACTAAATAAAACATATTAAAAATATTAAGTAAAGCATTAGAATAGGAAATGCAAAATTTCGACAGCAAAGAGTACTAAATCCGCAAAGATGAAAATTTCAATAATTTCTTTTCACTTACTATGCTAAGAGTTTGAGCTCCACCCAAAGTTTCGATCGCCTTCTCAGCATTTCTTACTACTCCTGGATATGCCACTACAACATATTCCGGTAAATTTCCTGTACTTGTTGATGGCCACATTCCCTACAATACAGTGACACAACGGTAGAGAATTATTTTCCACAAAGAAAAAACAAATACTATGTACGATAAAATATGTAAATGTAGCGATGTTCAATAATGATTGTAAAATACTACGATTTTTTTACTAATTTATTACTTTACTACTTGAATTTCAGCAAAATAACCTGACTTGTTTTACAGCCAAAGCCTTAACTCTCGAGTTAGAGAGTACATCAAGTACCACAACTTATATTTTATGTCCTCAATTAATCACAAATGAAATTCCCACTTAGATTTCCATATACCCTCTCTCTCACCGGTTTGTGTTGCTGCATGCAGCAAATGCAATACGACTGCATGCAACAAGGCTGAAAGGAAGAGTTGCATGCAACACGCTTTACAGAAAAACTACAAATAGTAAGTGATAAGATTGAGGGAAGGAGCGAGGATAAAAAGATTAAGAAGATAGGCTTAGTTAGCATTGTGTTTAAGTGGAAAAAAATTTGTTATTGTGAAAGAAATAGCAAAAATATGACGAGGAAATACTGATAACTGATAAAGGTGGTTGGCTTTCTTTTTCTTATCAGTAATATGATTTGTAGATTGGTTAAAGTTTACTTTATTGAAAGGTCATTTTAGGTTTTTTACTATCATAGGAGTAACAGTTGTTGTTTGCCTATGCATATTTGTTGTTAGTTATTATTTTTTTCTTTTATTATTGGTTAACTAATGATTTAACGTTAAAATTTAGTGCAATGGATTTGAAAAATGAAGTATTGGATGTCATGAAAGAAGTTGATCATAGTGAAAGATTATTAAGCACAAAAGGTTATTCCTGTTCTTGTTTTGTTTACTTTTGCTATATAATAATGTCTTAATAGTAATGAAAGAAATGATGAATTTTGATTTGATGAATATGATTCATAAGTTATATTTTTTTTGAGTAAGGTATGCTGTATGGAGATGTTCTGTTTCTGTTCAAAATGATAGATGAGATTCATTGCTATGAATTTAGTAGTGTTGACTTACAATAAAATGGGTCACTTTTGAGGAATTGATACAGTGATTAAGGCTGAATAGAATTCGATCTCATTTTATCGAACTTCTCTAGAATTTCTGTTTTAGATTACAAAACAATCTTTGCTGAAAGTTTCTTGCATTTTATTCATTTACAAGGACTACCAGAGATACCAGAACATTATCGTTTGCGACCGTTGATGTCAGTCGATTATCATCGAGGTTATTTGGAATTGTTATCGCAACTTACCGTTGTCGGTGATGTTAGTGAAGAAATGTTCCTTCGTCGGTGAGTGATTAATTAGGGATGTTGCTTGATTTTTTGTCGTTCTCAAAAAGTTTTTCGAAGGACTCGGTAGATTTTAGCGCAGGACAAGTATTTCAGGTTTTGTTCATGGACCATTTTAGCTATCCCGTATATTATGTGGTAGTTGTCTTACCAGCTTATGTTTTATTCAGTGGGACTTCAGTGAGAGTGTAAATTGCAGATTCAACTCGATGCGCAATATGTCACCTCCTGCGTATTATATTATCGTCATTGAGCATAAAGAGTGAGTTTCTAAAAACGGGTTATTTATGGCAAGGTTTTTCTAGATAAGGAATGCAAGGGAACTGAGTTTTCTAAAAAAAAATGGAAAAAGTAAAATGAATTTTAAAATAAATTTCGTGTATTTATTTTACTTTCCCCAGAAAATTTGACTTTGGATTCCATTTTGGTAAGCATTGGCTGAAAAGGAGTCAAATTCATTATGTTTCTCAGATGCCTCAAATAGATCGGCAGTACACAGTCATGCATCAGAGTTATTGAAAGTTGGTGATGCAAACTTCCGAAATTTACAATCATAATTATGAAACTTGAAGGAATAGAGAAATAGAATGAATAAAAAAAAGAAATAAAATGGAGAAATAGAGTTTTTTATTTTGACTGTATTACGCATCTACCGCTGGAATGGTTGCATGTAGCTTATATAATCTAAGAGATGGATTTTTTTTTTTTTGAATTTTTTTTTTTATATAATCTAAGAGATGGAGAGAAGAAAAAGAAAACAAATAAGTGAAGGCATTCATTTGTGTAGGTGGATAATGTTTGATTAATGAATTAGATATTCATAGGTTAAAACGTGTGGTAGCATCAGCAACACTTGTTTTGGAATGGAAATTTATTCATGATGCTGGATGTCGAGGACGTATTGAAGATGTTGTTGTGGATCAAAGCGTTCGCGGACATCATTTCGGAATGTTGCTTAATCAACATTTGGTAGTACTGGCACGACATATTGGTGTTTATAAGTTGTCATTGGAATGTAAAGATGAACTGATATCATTTTACGAACAGTTCGGATTCAAAAAAGATGAGGGGAACAGTTTTCTTGTTCAGAAATTTTGAATTCGATGTGAGTTTCTGAAACAATTATGGGTGAAAATTTAAATTCAGATTTCAAGTTCAGTTTATTTCAAGTTTTAGTCTTGTTATGTAAAAATATGCTAATAAAAGTGAAGGAAAAAATGTAGAAGATTAACAAAGGTGAAAGGGAGGAATGACGTGGCTAAAAATACTGTTGTAGTATTTGTAGTGGTTGTGTTTGTCCAAGTGCTGTTTCTCATCTTCTTTTCCATTTTTAATGCTTTTTGTGTATGCTTTCTTTTAGGAAGATCTTTTATTCTTCAGCACAGCTAAAACATGCTTACATTTTAATGAACACTGAGTGGCTGCCATATTTATGATGTAATAATTTATGAATTGCTTTGTTCACCCCGTTGTAAATAATGTAACATTTTATAAATTGCTTTTTTTTTTTTCTTTCCCTCGATTTTGCTCAATTTTAACTTTAATCTTGTAGATTTGATTTCCTGGAGTTGTGAAAATTCGTTCAAAAGTGTTCGTGAAATGTCATTTTATTGTAATTGAATGTTTAAGCTTTTTATAATCAGTTTTTTTTTTTTTTTTTTTTTTTTGCTTTTTCTTTTTTTTTTTTCGTTCATTTGTAATAAACTTTTTTACAACTACTACACTGCTTTATCCCTATGTATGGGTCTTAAAAATCTAATAACGATTTCTACTGGAATATTTGATTGTAATTAAATGAAACGAGTATTTTTAATCCTTTAGACGTATTTTTTAGATATATCGGGCATTCGTGAGCAGATGACATTTCTTTTAGTTTCCTTACTATCCTCTTAAGTGTATGAATCTTAGAACCACTCTTTGTAATTGGGCGTAGCATTCTTTTAATCACCTTCATTATAATTCGTAAATAGTGCATTAATCAAATGCTGCACTTATCAAAGAGTTAGAGATCTAAATATCATATTTCAAATCCATTATAATTAGGAAATGTGGTTCAATTACCAAATTTTCATGATGACTTACTGTTGCAATTATAACTGAAAGTACAAAATGTGAAGTTAGCATTTCTTGGTCTTACTTATATCTCTGCTGAATTCGTTTCTATCGATGAGACAAAATAAGTTGTATAGACGACACTTTTGGTTGTGTATTATTGCAGATTGAAAGTGGTCAACTCATGAGATGTCGCGTGTGCCATTTCTTGCTTCTCTTGATTACAATTTAAATAAACGCGACAAAGATTGGATTTCTCATCAGCTACCAAAGGTAACATTATCGTAGAGCTGACCAAAAAACCTACATAAAATACACAGATAAATATTGGACTGGATTAAAAATCAACAAATTAGGATACTATATATAAATTTTTCAAAAAGTCACTTTAGCTAAGTAACTGTATCTGGAAATTTATTGACAATGAATTTGCTAGGAGTTCATTCCTAGCATTGTGTAAAGCAAAATTTGATCAACACAACTCTGTGAAAATATAAAAAAAAAGTCAAAACGGATTGCAGTTCAGTCAGATTTTTAGAAGCTTGTGCTTTTCTTTGGTATACATGACGTACTGTTTTAACTGTTCACTTATTTAAGGAAAGCATTGAAATACCCCGTGAACATTTACCTGATCCGGAAACTGAAAACCTTCCATCAAGCGTTAGTTTTCGTCAAGTATGTTTTTATTAATTCATATCTTACCTCTCTGTTTCTTTTTGTTTCCAACGATCTTGGAATATGTTTAGCATTATTTTTAAATGATGGTTTATTTTAGGAATCAACAGCCGAGTTGGAAAAACGTTGGACTGATACAGGAATTGACCGTATATTCCTGAATCGTCCAAGACCGTCACGTATTTGAAAATTAAATTTCGAAATTATTTGTTGTATGAAATATGGGTAATGGACAGAGTAGCAATGATACTAACATTCCCTCATCTCATTCATTTTTGTCGAATAAAAAATTAAGTACAAAAACGAAAAGCAAAATAATTGTTATAAAGCAAAGGACAAATATAACAGGCCCGTCATGTTCCAAGAATGACGAAATGATAAAACGCTTCCTGGTAGGCAATTTTTTCGAATTTTCTATTTCATGGCATTTGCTTGTTACATATGTGTTTAATTAACACTATCATTAAATATGTGGTCTAGTGTTGTAAAAAAATTTGTTTTTAGGAAATCCCAAAATTTTATCCCATTTTGAAAAGTTCGTTAAATCAACCAGATTTACGTGACTCACCGGAGGCAACACCCAAAGTTAATGCTCGTCCTGTGCTGAAATTTGCCTGTCGTTTACAAGAACATTTTTCGCGTTGTGCTAACACTGTGGTTGTGGAACAAGAATCATTGGGAAATTCAATGAAACATGTTAGCATAGTTTAAATGTTTTATTAATTTTGGGAAGTCAAAATTTTTTAATGTAATAAAGTCAAGGATCAAACTTTACGAGTAATTTTGTTTTCTTTTCCGACAAGTAATCCGCAACTGTTCCGTAACGGATGGGATAGTTTGGGGAGGAAAAATCTCACTTCATATTTTTAGTGTAGAGAAAAAATTTTTGATGTTTTTGTCTTTAAAGAGAAAGATACTTAAGTGGCGAAGGCCATTACTTTAAAAACTTACTCTATTTTAAAAATACTTTGAAAACATAATCGTAAAACTAACAGTAGCTTAGGAAATATATTTCGATGGCGTAATGGATGAAAGCTATTTTTAGTTTTTTATTTAGTTTAGCACGTTTTTTATTACGGTCTCAAATCTGGAAAGCTTATTTCAGGTAGATCGTAATATTACACTTTTACTAGTACAGTTTGCTGAGCAAAAGAGATCAATGGATCGTTTTCAAAATTATTTGGAAAAAATGAACGATTTACAGGCGCATATTTCGAATTTACGAGTAAGACCACGTTTTTCCTCTTCCTTTTGAATTTTACATTTTATTCCAAAATGCTAGCATGAACATTTTACACAATGTATACTGTTCACACAATGAACAGTATACTAGATCACTTCCTCTCAGTAAAAACACCCACACAACAAGACTGGTGAAGTTAAAATCTCATATAATAGTTTTTGGAAAAGGCAGATTAACTGTGTGCTGATAGGGATTGCTTATACACAACTTAATTTCAGTTTCTTTTCCAAGATCTTATGCCAGTGATTAACACCCTGAATGAAATTCTACCGGAACATAAGCGGCTGCCATTACTGGATATCGACTGCCTTGTAAATGCTACAGAAGGTTCATCAGAACAGAGAAAACATGCTGGAATTATTCGCGAAATTCAAGGTGGTACCTATTTAATGGATAATAATCAAGATGATGTACATATCAAGCCTGTTGATGAGGTGACTGTAGTTGATAAAAATAATGCTTGATTTGGTAATTGGGGCTACGTTGTTCTGCTATCTTTTCATCAAGATTGCTGTAAGCTTTGAAACCTCAGATGGATCTAGTAAAATATAAAATTGAGGATGTCTAATTTATTTAAGTTATACTTCTATATTGCCTACTTGGAACTTGATAGCGGTTTGTCTTTTTCTCGATTCCAATTTTTGTTGTTTATTTAGAAGTAAATTTGTGACTGAAACATGCATTTTTCTAATCAAGCCGTTATGGCTTCATATAATTATATTCTTAACATGATTCTTGCTGTGGTATAGTAAAGTCATTTAGTACACTTGTGAATATTCACTTATTTCACTGTTTCTCATCTTTATTATTGTTATATCTTTGATTTAGTTATTTATTAATCTGAACATTTGTTTAATCCTTTTTTTTTTGAACTGAAGAGCATCACATGTTTATTTCTAGTTTGTTTTTTGTATTGTCAAGTTCTTTTTCCTTTTTTTCGAAATGCAAAATATAGTGAAATCCATTGTCATATGTTGCATTTCGGATTGTATTAAATCAGGATGACCTTTTCATCTTTCATGTTTATCGCATATTCAGTACTCCAGAAAAACAAATACATTACAAAACAGTTTATTCTCAGAAGAGCTGAGAAGTAAGAAGTTATTTATTTACCTTGAACCTTTTTTAAGAGCTGTCATTTCGCAAATACAAAAGTTAGAAAGTGGGAAATTCTTCGAAAGCTTACGCTGGAGAGAATTTGGTGCTAAATGAGTTGCGTGATATGAGTATTAACAATATGAATATGTCGCAGGCAAGTTTTCTACAATTGATAATTTACTGGCTTAATATGAAATTACCTGCTTTTATTCAAAAATGAACCGAGGATTTAGCTTTTTAATAGAATTGAAGGTAGTAAAATGCATAGCTTCCAGAAGAGAAAGAAATGAAGTTTCAGATGAAACCGCTCGCGACGAAACAAGTTGTTGCTTTTGTTAATTATTTCATGGTAAAAAATGTTCAAATATTGCAAGATTTTGTTTCAAATGTGGAGCGAAGGATTATTGACATGGAAAAGCGTTTAAGTCGAGTGGAAGTGGAGTTAAAACTTTTGGAACTTAAAGTAATCACTGAACTGCTGTCTCTCTATGCAGTTATTGAAATAATGGTGTAATAACATTAAATTCCATTATCCTTAAAGGAGTAGTTGAAAGTGTTAAACGTTTTTAAAAGAAAATGCAACTGATCTATCTCTATTTAATGTAGTGATTTGAATGTAAATGAATTTGATTAAGATTTATTTTTAGTTGGACAGCGTGCCAAGCTTACAAATCATTGTTTCGGAAGACAATGAGGTCTTAGCAAAACAGCGATATAATGGTCCACTGTTTAATCAAATTTCAGCAGAAGATACTGTAGAGGTAATTTTTGCATTTTAGCATTGAGATTTACTATCAACAAAATACGATGAAACCATTATTGATGAAATGATTTTATTTGCACTATTATTTTAATCACATTATGGATTCCTCTTTATTTACTTATATTTTATTTTCTAGGGCAAATTTTGCTAATTTATACATAACGATCTTATTTTTTCTGAGTAGCATCATTTTTTTAAAAGCATATTTGTTTTGATACTTTTTTATTCCTACTGAATTCCATTTTCTAACGATATTTGTGAATCTTTCAAAAATAAATACTTTTCAGGACGAAATAGTTGAGAATGTGAAGGTAGATAATTCAGAATCCTTATTGGCTTCTAATTCTCTTCCCAGTATTGAAAGATCAAGCGAATCAATGGCTTCGAAAACGTCTCTTGAAAACCAAAACAAACCAAACAGTTGCCTTCGCATTCGAGATGATCCTCGTTACGCTATTTACTTCAGAATGCTTAAAATGGTACACCTTTTTTTCTTGTTGCTCTATTTAGAAAGAATAAGGCATTTTTCTTATTTGATTTTATTCTGACTTTTTATAATTTGTAATACCTGCCTTTATGCCTATGTTACTAAGAGCGGTTGGGTATACAATGTCAAATTTACTATTGCTATTTGCTGTTTCTGAAAGCTATTTATTGACTTAAATCATGTTGTCTTTTTCATTACCACTTCATAATTCAGGGCGTACCTGAATGTGCGGTGAAACAGAAGATGGCCACTGAGGGAATCGACATAGCACTTCTTCAGTATGTGTAATTTTTAGTTTTTTTCTGACATAAGCAAATCATTCCATGTATATATTCTGTATCATATCACAATTATTTTACGATTATTGTTATCCATATGCAGAACTCTACTTTTGGTAATCACTAAGGACCAGTAGTTGAGTAAGCAAGTTTTAATATTTCTAAGCAAGTTTCTACTAGTGGAGAAATTGTTTTTAGTCAATTGTTTTTTTCCTTTTTTGTGTGCAAAGTAAAATTTAGAATACCAAATACATCTTACATCTCACTATTTCCTTGCACTTACTTAAACATTGAAAAATTATTTTGTAGCAAAGAGATAAATCATTAATATACTTTGCATGAGTGTTAGAAATAAAATGCTTTTCTTATACCTATGAAAATCGAAACATTAAAGCTATGAAGGGGAAAGCTTAAGCGGAATTTGGAAATTTTCTGTGGATTTTGAACTAATTTTTAAATTTCTTCAGAACACCAGACGCTCTTTCTGACTTACCTGTAGATGCGGCAGCTAGTATTGAAGATAAAGATTCAACAAGTGCTGATGATGACGATCAGGATTCAACATCTTCCAGTGATCGTTGATTAAAAAATAGAGTATAAGTCTGTGTAAATTAATGGGTAGAACTAAAACAAGTGAAGCATTGTAAAATTAGTCATCACTAGGCCATTAAAAAAAAAAGTGAATTTAAAATATGTGGTTCCATAAAAGAAACGTTATGAGAATCTTGGGTTAAATTGTGGTTTTTGTATTTGTGATGTTTTACTTTTCATACTGATTGCAAAATATAAAAAGAGAATAAGTGTACCGCTTATAATGTCTATTGTATTTGAAACAAAATACTTACATAAATCATCATTTAAGTTTTAGCTTTAGAAAATGCTAACTGAAGATATTGTTTTTAAGTAGTATTTTGCTTCTCAGTAATATTTCAATTTAAGCTTTTCATATTCATTGCTACAATTTTACAGAATTTTTGGAAAGAACAAAAACAGTTAATTGTTAAATAGAGGAACTATTGCAAATTTGATGCTTCAATTAGTGAACTTCCAGAATATTCATTGACCAATACTAAAGAGCGGCATTACTAAACAAGGTTATTCTCATTGATCAAAACTTGCCATGATCTTAATCTAATTATTTGTTCATTAGTTAAATGTTGCTTTCCAGATAGTTATAGCACAAGATATCAAATTTTGATGATATATGCAGGAAGGAACTTTTGATCATTTGGGATTTAAATTAGGTTTTCAATGGTTATTTCTACAAATTATGTGCTGCATTCGTTTGGTGGAGATATCTTAGTAAGATAACGAATTGTTTTTCATAACTGATCTTTAATGTGGATGATACTGGAGTAATGATATAGAAAATATTATGACGAGAAGTGTAATTATTTCCATGCTTGGTTTATTCTTCAAACAAAGAATTTTGTCTAGAAAGAATGTATAGGAAGAGTGTCACATTCAAAATAAAACCTTTCCAATCTAAATGCTTCATTCTTTCTTTTTTTTTCCATTAAAATTTAGCATAGTTATTTTTCGGCAATTATCAAATAATATCAATCTTGAAGTGATATTAATGTTATTATAATATTAATAGTAATTATATTAACAATTTTATGCATTATTTTCACCACACATTCGTCTTGTTATCATTATCAATTTTTGTTATCTACCTTTTATATGGTCAACTTTTAAAAGAATTTGAAAGAAATTCAATTTAGCTATGTAATTAATCATCTATCTATCCATCTGTCATTGATAATTACAGTGTGGAAATCTTCTTTAAAATCATTCATTCCATGTAAAAATCAAACGATAGCTAATAAAGAATTAATTTACTTTAGAATTTTCAAATGCCAAGAAAGATTTCACGTCGACCAAAATCATCCCGTGCCAATGCTTATCATCATCTCAGTTTTGCATATGATGATTCAAGTCAACCAAGAAACATCTCTGAAAATTCATCAATAGCAAATTTCACCGATTATCCTAGAATTCATTCCAGTAATTCTCCCTCATTCAATTCATCACTCACTCAATCTTTTTCTGATCAACAACAATTATCATCTGTGATAAATGATACAATTTTACCGGATATAATTCCTCCATACACAACTTCCTATGGAGCATTTGAAGATTTATGCCAAAGAATGACAGTTGCTGTTTCATCCGACACTTCGAGAGTAGTTACGACGGATACATCATCACCTCTTTCACCGCCATCCTCACAAATTCCTTTACCTGTTTCTGAAACATTGAGATTGTCACCTGCTACCTCAGCCAGTGACGTTTCCAACTATAATGCTAATAGACAAGGTAATTCTTTTACCCAAGCATTCCCTCAGATGTTACCGCCGCCACTTGATTATTTTCCACGTGCTCCGAGATCGGTGAATGCTATACCTGAGTATCCCTTATATCAGTATTTCAATACAATGACAGATTTATCTCAACCTGCAATTAGGTATCATTTAGTGTTGAATAATAAATTATTTCTTCTTAAATAAAAATGAACAATTATTTTAGAAAATGAGTTTCTAGTTGTAAGATATTATCACAATTTAAAAAAAAGAAGTCAAATAAAATAATTATTCAAAAAAGTATTTAGGATATTTGGTATTTTCTTTGTCCAATAAAATTAACTTTCTAGCATTGGATTATCATCATAATAGCTTTATTTATCAAGATTGTGATAATAGTTTATGACAATAATAATAATAATAATAATAATAATTACGACAATATTGCAGTTGGCTCCAAGATAATCGAATGCTTCTTCAAACAGTTATAACAGAATTTGAAAATGCTAATCATAATTACATGATGTTTTCATGTTCGGTAAGAAGGTAAAAAATTTTTTACATAGTTTAAATTTATACTAAAGTTAAGCAAACTTCTTTAAAACATTTCCTTCAAGCGAATAACTTAACCCGCAACGAAATTCATTAAATGTTAATTTGTCTTATGCTTAAAATTCTTTAGGATTCTCAGTGCTATAATAGATAAAGCAAGGCATGATCAAACTTTTGATAATGATTTTTTGGATTCGCTACAAGTTTCATCAGAACAACTTCTACAAAATGCTACTGCTTACTATAATGCTAACTTAGCTTTTATATATACTTTTGTACTTGGTCAATGACATTTCCTTTCTTTTTCCTTATTTCAATTCCAGTGATAGCAACTGATAAATTTGTAATATTTGAAAGAATTTTTCAGTTATTTAAAATTAATGATTCATTATTTATTTTTCATGCAAAATGATAAATTTAGTTTAGCATTTGTCTCTATTACTTATTTCAAATTCGCTGCTGTTATTTGGAAGCAATGTATTTACTCGTCTTTCATTTATGTTTAACAAAAGTATATTACTGCTGTAGAAGAGATGATTTGAATTGATTGAGAATGAAATGATTTAAATTTGTGGTTAAAATTTGTCTCTTGATTTTAATTCTTTGTATTAGATTTACCGATTACTCAAACTTATAGCTAATTCCTATCAATTTTAATCGTTCCAATTCAAAGCTTACGAATATTTCAATTTTTTTTTCTCATTCTTGTATCATATATATATTATTGAGTATTTTGTGTATCAAGAAAGATAGTACAACAATTCTGAATTTTGAAAAAAAAAAAAAAAAAAAACTAGACTATGAACTTTGCATATAATTAGGATAGCATTCCTGGAAAACTTCATCAAAATCATACTTTTAACTTAATTTCAATCCTAAATCTCTCTCTCTCTCTCTCTTGTAACTATAAATTAATCGCTGATGAAATTTTTTCAGCAGTGATTATTATTCTCAAATGTAATGTGACAAGGCCATCCTACAACGGAACACTGAAGATTGGCCTATTTCATTTGTTCTATTTTTTTTTTTTTTTTTGCTTAAATTTTAGGTATTTCAACCGGTTTCAATTGATAAATATTTGTCTCTTGGAAAAAACTTGCTACAGTATACAGAGGAGGAGTTAAAGTGTGAGGACAGAGGATATAATAGGACGAATAATAGAAAATGAGGTTAACCTAAAATCATCAGATATGAATTGGAATATATAAGTAAGTAGCAAAGCTTTTCAGTTTACAATTTTATGTTATGCTTAAATATAACTTATCAAGTTGCTACCTGTACTAAAGTAAGCAAGCTAACCGAAATAATAATCAATATAAGAGTAAGAGAGGAAAGTATATCTATCTCATCGATAAAAACGAACAATAACCTCTGTCATATCTAAAGCTACCAAACCCTTTGGTTCTGAAGGCGGTGCTCGTCTTTCCATAGGCGGAGCAATGACCACCGCTTCACCGTCTTCGGAATAATTCCGAGGTGATAATCATCGGACCACTTCATCGGTTCTCGTTTTGACAATCTTTCACCATTATCTTATTTATTTTTGCCTGAATCTCTCATGAATTCAGTGATATTTAATAATAAATAAACGATAATTTAGCTTTAGGAACTGATGAAAGCTTAACAAAATCAATATTATCATCTTTTATTACTATTATATTCCAAATAAATACCTATTTCAATTCTTTTTATTTAGTTAATATTATCAGTTAAATGAGGGACAATTGATTGTTATTTATCATCGAAGTGATAATATCTTTATCAGATAGAATTTTGTTTCAATTTATATCATATTTGAATATCAATATATATATATTGATATGTGCTTTCCTATGTTCCTTTATAAAGAATAGCTGCTTGTCTACTTTTCTTTTTTCAAATATTCAATAGCTTACAACGGGTAAAGGAATTATGCGCCCCTCAATAGTAACGGTATTACTGTTCCAAATAACAATTGCACTTCTCTTTCTTCGCCATTCTTTGGTGGTTTATTGTTTGGAATCTTTGATTAAATTATTTGTTTGAGAAATTACAACATTAAATTCCACATAGTTTAATGTTATTGTAATGATTTATTGAAAAAGTAATACTTATCCATCAAAAATATAAACTTAATTAGTTTCAGACTTTTTGCTTCTTTTTTTCTTTTTATTTTTGGTGTTAACTGACAAGGTAATTTGTAAAGAGAAGAATGAGAGAAAGAAATTCAAATTTTATGATTAAATTAATTTTTGCTATAAATTTCGACTGAAAACATCAATACAGTTATTTTAATATTTTTCTTACAAATAAATATAGAAATGAAATATATGAATAAGGTCTTAGAAAAGAAAAATTAATGATAGTTTTACATTTAGATATTTTTTTAATTTTATTTCTTTTTTATGTTTTTATTTTTTTTTATTTAATTTTTCATTAAATTTTTTTTTAGAGCTGTACAATTTTTTAAACTAAGCTTTTGATAAAATCATTTAATAGCTGTTGAATATAAGAAAGAAGAAGTAAATTATAATCGCTAAATATTTCACTTTCTTAAGCTTTTATTTATTAATTATACTTCCATACGTTCGATTGAATTTATACGTGAACCAATAAAAATTATCCTAGAAAGATCACGATTAATGCTCTTTCACGTAACGTATATTTATCTGCACATGGTGACTATGATAACATCTTTTCAAATTTTGTATGACGTTGTTAGTTAATTACGTTCAGTTGACGTAACATGTCACGTCAAAATACTTTTAGTTTTTTTCTTCCTTTTTCTTTTTATAATCAATCATTAATGCAAATTATCAAATATGTAAAAATTAAATTCTTATTCATCTTATTGATATGACAAAATACCAATCAAATCTATCGTTGTAAATACATCCTCGAAATTTTTGCCCTCTTTTTTTTTTTTTTTTCTCGATATTTACAGAAGAAGAATAGAATACAAACCATTTGTAGATTTGTCATTTGTTCTTGTCGTCTACAAGCTTCTGTGTTACTTTGTCATCGTTGATAAAAGAAAGGAAAGACTACTATCACTAACTACTTACTATTACTATTGATAGTATTACCCATCATCTCTCTACACCATTACACTATTTCTACTGCAACTACTATTTTTCACAGCTTGATGCCTCTTTTTGTTGCGTCTTCTGTTAGTCGTAATTTTCAAATTCAATTGAAGAAAATATATTTCAAAAAAAAAAAAAGGAAGGAAGGAAGGAAAAGAAAAGAAAAGAAAAAAAAAATGCTGATATTGTGTAGGAAAGTATGATGAATGTATTCTATAAAATGTGCCATTAGTGCTTATTTTCTATAGCAAATCAAATCAAACTTGTCTTGTTGTGACATATCAAAATTTATTTTCACATGAAATGATTATTTGTAAAGATAATTTGAAACAGATCAATTGAACAATTTTGATGTACAAATCAACGAAATATGATCATTGTTGTATTCACAGCTGCTTTATTATTTCTGTTTACTGTACAAGGAGAAATTGATCTCGTTGATAGCAACAACAATAATGTCCATCTTCAATTGCAAGAATTACGTCTTGGACAGTAAGTCAAATTTTGACATTTCTTCAATAATTCTTTAAATCTTTTGTAATTTCTTTCCTTTTTTTTTTCTCATTATTTGCATATTTCTTAAATATTAAATTTGACATTTCTAACGATATAATCTTTTTATTCCTTCTAATTTACATTATTAAAATTGCTTATAAAGAAATAGTGAAAATTAATCCTTTTTTGTTATTAAAAGAAAGTTAAATGATATCTGATAAAATGTATAATAAAGTTACGTAAGAAATATGACTTTAAATTAATAGTTATAGTAATAGTAACTTTTTTAACACAATTATATCGTGTAGCCACGTTTTTTTCACGTTTTTTTTGGCTAAAAAAATTTTCTTTTCATTCCTATCACTACTATCCCTATAGTTCTTTTTTTTTTTACCTTTCCCATCTCAAAGCAATTTTCATATTTTATTTTGTGCATGTGACAAAGTCACTGAAATGTTAAAATTAACAAGTTGACATTATGTTTTTCAATGGCAATACGCCAATGAACCCATTCAAGACAGTAATTTCTTTCTCATAAAAAGCAAAAAAAAGTCTATGAAGAAAATTTCGGAAAGAGAAAAGAAAGTGTCTGCAGGGCTTTTTTTAAAATATAATTATATTTATCGTAAACTAAGTTTAAAAATATGTAACGTACGTGTACTATATAACGCATTAAAGACTCATTTCATTTAAAAGATCAAAAAATAAGGAAAAAATTCGAACAAAATCATTTCAGATGATACGTAATATTTGCATATTATTTGGGATGCATATGATGATCAAAGCTTACGAATGAAAAAAAAAAAACTTTTGTCTGAAGAATTAAAGTTAGCAAAAAGAAATTTGACATAGTTATTCTGAAAGTTTGAAATTAATTTGGTTAATTTCAATTTGCAAATATTTCTATGATATATATGTATTGTAATATATCTGAGATTAAATCAGAAATGTAAAAATATCATAATAAAAAATGAGGACGGCTCGAAACAAATATCCAAAAGTTTGATAGCAAAATCAAAATTTGTAATCATATGATAAGTTTTATTCTGGTGATTCTACTGCTAACGATAACATAATTTTCGAGTGCATTTAAAAAGTTGCAATTCAGATTAAATTTTGCAACTTTCTTAATAAGCAATTTTTGTCCTCATTTATTAAGATTGATTAATTCTCTCAACATTAGTTATTATTTGAAACTTTGTTAAACGATGCAAAAATACGAATTCGTCTTCACTTTTTCTAGTTCTCTGCAAAGAAAAAATGTTACTTACAAAGTTTTAATTGATTTTATTGAAAAAAATTGAATTCATATAGAAATTGCGGTCAGATTGCGGTCATATAGAGGCTATCTCACGGAAACATCCATCAAACGATTGATTTATAGGAAGTTGAAGGTCAAAGACTGATGGATTGTTTCCCTTCCATCTTCCTTCCAGTAATAATTGAAATTTTCATATAATTTAATTGAAATGTAAAGCAATTCGTCCTGAAACATTTCAATATGCAAATGCTTTAATTACATTTAGTATATACTTATTTTTAAAACATAATTTCAATGGATTAGAATGATGAGTAATTTAAGTGCGATAATCTAGAAACAATTAGATTGATTCAGATTGCTTAACTCAGCTCAACAGTTCATAGCCACAATCCCTGAATCATTTGCACTGCAAATAATATGATCTATTCACAGCTTAGAGGTCAAATGTTATTGTCATCGTCATCATCTGAAATGCATACCTCCAAAATAAAATTGTATTTTATCGCCTTTCTTCTCATTCCCTCTTTTCTACTTCTCATAATATAATGAACACCGAAATCCTTATCTCACATAGAATCTGACCTCAGCCTTCTTTTTCCTAGCACTTTTGTGACAAATATCTATTTGACTAATACTAATCAATTGATTTATTAATTAAAATTTCTTTGACTGTGAAATTAGTCTAAAGTTTCAAATGCAAAAAAAAAAAAAAAAAAATGTATGAATTATTTTCAACTTGCATTCATATTTTCAAATTAATAAGATAAAAAGTGCTTTATTTGCTTTAGCAACCTTAGACTAATTGTGATATTCTTTTACAAACGTTAAGAGAAAATAATTTAACAAAGTTTCAGATTTGTAAATTTTAAATGGTTTTTCATAGATTTTGTAAACAAATGGGAATTTTAGTTTAACCCAACACAGTTAGAAGAGACTGGATTAATTTCTGGAAATTAAAAGATTTATTAAATTTTCAAAATTAATTAAGAAAACAAAGAAAAAGAAAACAGAAAGATGTAGTTAAATTTTTGTGAAAATAAAGATTATATTGGTGTATTTTCTATGTCATTGGTATGATTATTTAAAACTGATAGTTAATGACGAATTGAATGCATTAAACTGGAAATGATTGGATTAATTTCTGAAATAAAGTTGCAATTTTAGTTTAATCCATAACATCATTCAAATATTAGTTCAAATATTAATTTTGCACATTTCTCTGAAATTTCATAAAATTACATTCATTGACCCAATTGACAGATTTTTTTTCAATTCGACTTACTTCGCTAATATTTCTTATTTAAGCTTTATTACTGATACCATTAAGCATTACCTCTGATTTATCCAATTTTTATATGACAAAAAAGAAAAAAATGCGACGGTTAAAATGGAAGAAACGATAAACGTTGAAACTGAAGTAAATATGAAATGAATTGAATTGAAATGAAATGAATTGAATTGAGAATGAAATAAGTAATCAAACTTGTGAATCATTTAACTACCATATTTTGTTATGAATAGTTTTATGACACCATTTATCCACCAAATAAAATAAAAAAATAGCATAAAGTGTCCTCAAACATATCATTCATTTCCTCGAATAAATTGTTTGTTCAATAAAGTGCGATTCCTCTGGAAGTGTATTTGATGAGCAAATGAATGAATAATCGTCGATTAATTGAAGCGTCGAATTTTCAAGACTATATTAAATATATTAAAGATGCATTGAATTTTTGTTTTTTCATAACAGTTATATGATCTAGGCAATACAATAATTGTTTCTTTTATTCGGCACTTCTCAATATTTTATTTTTTCTCAGTAATATCTTACTTTTTTCTTTCATTTTTCATCTTAATTCAAATTATTTTAAAGCAAAAAAAAAAAGAAAAAAGGAATTCTTCTTCATAATTGTACTATGTTTACACATTTATTCTGTTTGATCATACTAAAATTCACTTTCCGATATATTTTTGTTTGATTTTTGATTTCTTTTGTTTAAAATTATGCAAATATTTTAAAACGGACGACTGAATTGAAGAAGAATAGTAATTTTATGTGCTTCGGTGCGCAATTATGCGTACTAAGCAAAAACAAAATGATTTTTTTCCATTTCTTTTTTTTTGTTTTTGTTTATTTTTTTGTTTTGGTTCACTTTTATCCTTCTGTTCTCTTCCCATATCTATTAATCATTCATTGTTAATTATTATCACCATCAAATCATTATTCCATCTCCTTTTTTTTGGGATGAAGGGAAGAGCATGATCGAACTACTCATTGATTTCCTTTCCTCTTATCACAATGACATAATAATCCTTTAGCAAAAGAAGGAAAGGAAAATATCGATAAGTGAAGTAAAGTTAATGTAAAGTATTTTTTTCTTCATAAATGGACATCGATTTAAGTTAATACAAATTTTCATTATTTAAATATATTAAGAGAAGAAGAATGATATCTCATTAATTATTGTAGTTATTGCTTCTGAACAATGAAATTTCCAAGCGACCATTAACTTCTTTGAAATTTATTTAAATTATTAAACCTTCATTAAAATTCTTTTAGTGATGGTTTAATAGTTTATGTCCACTTTAAAGTTATTAACATTTTGATGGCTATATCAATCTCAACGGTAACTCATTTCTCTCTCTCTTAAATTTAAGTGTTTCCATTAAAGAATCATGCAGACCTACCACTTATTCTCGTTCCCTCTCAAGAACAGCAACAGATAGCTTCCTCATAAGTGCAATAATTAAGTTTTAAATTTACTACCAGATATTTGGTTTACTAAAAATGCAAATTAATAAAACTTACTAAATTTTAAAATGGAAGATTTTCTCCCAACTGGCAATGAAAGTAATGACAATCATTTATCAAAAAGTAAAAATCTCCATTAGTCGTATCTTCTATACTTTTATCATTTCAGTTATCCTTCATTCATCACAAAGAAATTTCAATATTATTGTAACGATATTATTCATAATTAATTAATTAATTAATTAATGCCAGCTGATACTGCGCTGCATTTTGATGGTACTTCGTACCTGGCAATATTCTTTTATTAGTACTTTAGCGAAAAAATAAATTCAATATATAAACAAATTGTAAATGAAAGCAAATGAAGGGAAAATTAAATGTGAAATTTATGAAATGACTTAGGTACTAAAAATGTTTAGAGCTGATCTAAAAATTCCTTCCAATTTTGTTATCATTAAGTATTACTTTTATTTTTGCCCATTTTTATTACAAGAAAAAAAATATTGTAAATCTTTCCGGTACATCCAATATTACTTTGATAATATTTCCATTCGAGTACTCAAAAAAAAAGTAGGTTAAAAATCATCCTTATTTTAATTAATGTATGAGATTAAAATGATAAGAATACAATTTCTATTTTGATCAATTGATCAACAGAATCAGTTAAAATGAAATATGAATTAATCACATCATTTTCAACAAAAGTTTTAATTTAGGTACAGGTTATAAAAATGAAATAAAAGTAATTCTATAAAATCTGACAACTGATACAGAAAAAGATTATCAATGACAATTAATGGTAATTGATGAATTGTGATCCGAACTGCAAGCCACGACATTCTCCTTTTCTGTCTGAGCGATCGTATCCGTTCGATCTACAATTGCATCATCACCATCATTATATATTTTCAACAGATATACTTTAAATAGCTACAGTAATTTTTTGAAATTGATTCAGATTAATTTTTCTTTTCTCAGTAAGCAAAGTAATCTAAGGTTAGAATCATCAATCACCGGAAAATAAACAAAATATTGCGGTGGTTTCCGTGTTTGTGGCATAAAAAAACACAATGAATGAATGAATAATGAGATGGAGGAATGAAGAAGAAGAAAGGATACTAAGCGATCGGATCGAAGAAAAGATCGCAAATATTCATTTATTTATAGAAAATACTGCACAACAAATGAATGATGTTTGATATGTGAAATTTTAGATAATTACAAAATCAAATATCATAAATCAAAAATATTTTAAAATTTTAGCCATGAAATATTTTAAATAAGTACACTGATAAATGCCTAGAAAAAAAAAAAGGAAAAATGAAAACTGATAACGAAGTAACTGAACGATTAATAAAAGCGATATGATATTAGATAAATTCATAATATATCTTATTAACATTAATGTTAAATAAATTTTGTAGATGAAAAAAGATAAAACAAAATCGTAATCACTCTAATCAGTGATTTTTATACCTTCAAAGTTGCTTCTAAATTGAATATAGCGAAAAAATTTTAATTTTCCTCAAATTAGTTATATGCAAAAGGAAGAAGAAATTTTGGAAATGTAATTACAACGAGAAAATGTTATTTTGTTGATATGTGATAATCTTAAAATAATTACTGAGACTAGATATTAGGTTAGATTTAGGTGAGTATTGATATCTGATAAATTCGGAATAATTGCAAACAGTTAAATGTTAAATGTCATTTGTTGTAATTTAAACCTCTTCCTTTTTCAATAATTAGTTTTGAGAAATAAGTTTATTAGTTACGGCAATAAATTAGTTGTTCTCATTAAAATAAAATTTGTGTGTGTTAGTGATGTTCGTATGTTATTGCTTTTGTCGTAGTTAAATGAGGAGGAAGGGATAAAGAAAGGAAGAATGGCCTTGTCAATTCAAATTCTTCAGGTACCGCAACGTAATTGAGAATTTATTGTGGTCAAATGGAATGCATAAATATTTAAGCTATCTTTATAATAAATTTGTTTACAAAATTCCAACATAGAGCTGAAAAAAAAATTTAATTATCATTAATGAAATAATTTAATGAATGAGCAAAATAATTTAAAAGTAATCGAATTTTCATATTACTACGGACACTACTATTATTTATTACTATTACTGTTATTGTTATTAATTATTAATAGTTATAATTATTATTATTATTATTATTATTATTATTATTATTATTATTATTATTATTATTATTATTATTATACAATTATCATTGCATTATTTATTATTAATCATTATTATTAATTATTATTTACTATTATTGTTGCCATTGTTATTGTAATTTTACTTTAAATCTTTATTGATGTAACTATTGCTAATTAATTATAAAACTAAAAAAATTAGTTGTATTTTGCTAATTAGTTAAAAAATGATTGTATAACAATAATGCAACTTAATTGCATCATTTAAAAAAACTCTTTTTTATTTATTAGCATTGTTTTTTCTCTTTTTTAGATTAAATGTTTGTCCACACGAAGAGATTGAAACAGTAACAGTACGTGAACCATGCGTTCATGCTTATACGAAATATATTAGAAGTCGAAAACCAGGCTGTAATGGACAATTCCGCTCGTGTTCAGTTCGAGAACCAAAGTTTGTTTTCTTTTCTTTTCTTTTTTTCAGAATTCTTTCCATTTTTCTTTTCCTTTTTCACTACATAAATGAATTTTTTTTGTAAATAATTCTAAATTATATTCATTTTTCCATAATAAAGAATAGTTAAAGTTGCAATTTCTTTAAATTTCAACATTTTCAATTATAAATTCAAATAAAAAAAATTAATTTAATTAATGGTAGTATAGTAATTGCATGAATAGTAGTAATATAGTAATTTTGATATGTTACCAATAAAGGAAGGAAGCAGTTTTAGTAAAAATCGAGAGCGCATAAATCATTGCCCTTCGCAACATTCATTAATTTCCAATTTCAATTTCCTACTTTCTCCGCCCTGATTACATCTATTGTCTCTCTCCCTCTTCCTTTCTCTCTCTTTCACTCTCTCTCCTAATCATTTCTTCTTTTCTTTTGTCAAATTTATATGTCATTTAGATTAAATGTTTGTCCACACCAAGAAATATGACTAATTTCATCAGCTATTAGCAATCTAATTATTAAAAATTCATTCCACCTTGAGCAGACAGAGAGAGAGAGAGAGAGAAAGAGAAAAAATTTTTTCACACTTTTTATTCTTAAAATTCAAATTTCGAATTAGAGTGTAATTTATCAAATCTGTAGGAAAAAATAATTAAATCAGTGAATGACAATTTACAGATTTTCAAAAATTTTGACAAAACGAAATTATTAACAAAAGGAAATGATTTTGTTCACTGCCACTGCAAAATTTTGTTTTCGAAGTGAGAAATGATTGAATAAAGTTTACTTCTGATAATAATTTCTCGTGAAAGTTTCTTCGAGAGAAAAAAACAATGCAAACTAACGGGAAATGATAACTGTTATCAGTGATAAGATCCATTGCTAGCTCTGATAGAGATTACGAATAATATTTGTGGTACCTTGTATAGAAGGTACTTCTTTAATTAATCATTTTGATATAATTCTATAATGTTATAAGTACAAGTACCGAGACAAGAGAATGACCTTTTTGGCTAACCTGTAATTAGAGCAATTAATTATACGGCCTTAATAAATCGGCTCGGTGATTTTGTGATGAAAAAAAATTGATGGGACAAGCTTTCTGAGGGGACGGTTTTTTGAAAAGAAAATATCATTGAAGTAATATGCTTGAAAAATTGGTAATTGGTCAAAATATGGAGGACTGGAAGTATTAATACTTAAATTAATAAATTTTAGAATTTGAATTTTTCACTGCAAAAGAAAAATAAAGAAATATTGTTTTTTGTTCCATTTTATTGCAAAATCTTATCACACTTATATTTTCGAATGAAATAAGCTTAATTAGATTAGCAAATCCTAATTATCATTTATTACCTTTCCTGCATAGATCATATTTTAGTAGTTATCAAATTATATCAGAATAAGTAAGTTAATTTGATTATTCAATCAATTAATCATCAATTAATGAAATGGTAAACTAAATAAATCAGAAAATGGATATTGCTGAAAGGTGATACATCAGATAGTATTAAAATAATTAAACACTGAACAATTTAAATTATAAATGAAGTAATAAAACAGAGAGAGAGAGAGACGGAAAGAGAGAGAGGGAAGAGGAGAAAATAAACTATTTCAGGACAGTATATTATCGTACATATAAAAATGTCACACGAACAAGAAGACATACAACAGCACAGTGTTGCACAGGTTGGATTCAGGTACCCGGTAAAGAAGGTTGTCAACGAGGTTAACCATTCTATTATTTCATTTCCAATAATTTTAATAAAATTCATTTGTTGACAATTTCTTTCAAATAGAAATTCTTGCAAAAATCTATTTTTAACTAACTGAAGTAATAAATAATTTGTTAAAACTATTTCATATGAATATTATGTGCACATATCAGTGTGTAAATTTCGATAATTTCGAGCTTATTTAAAAGAATAATGTCAAGTATACTACAGTTAAAATATTATATTTCTAATTGGTTCAAATGGATAAAAATGAGTAAGAATAAAATTTAATTTTTTCCATACAGCAAGTTGTACACCAGAATTATGTCATAATGGTGGCACTTGTCAACCGTCAACATCGGACAAGAGTGAGGAAATTTGTCGCTGTTTACCTGGATTTCAAGGTGCTCGATGCCAGTATGGTAGGTCATAGTTCATTTGTACATTTTGAAGATTACTGTATATTGATTGTGATACTTGTCGCTTGACAAAAATAAGCTCGCATTAGTTTTTTAAATTCATATTCGTATTTTTAAATTGATAAAATTATAGTTGAACATGAGATGCTGATTTGAATTTAGATTTTAGATTATCAGGTTTTAGAATTTAGATTTTTCAATTGATTATTTAATTATCAATTTTATTGATAAATTTGCTTAAAAAGTATGAATAATAGCAATTGGCTCAAATGTATTACTTTCAATTTTTAATTTTTTCCAATACTGCCGGAATGCACTTGAAATTATTAATTGGTTACATTTAATTGATATTATTTAGATATAAACGAATGCTTAGTGGAAAATGGTGGTTGCCCACATGATTGCGTCAATACGATCGGTACATTCTACTGTCGTTGTTTTGCCGGATATCAGCTTGATAGCGATCACAAAAAATGCATTGGTACTTTCCATTTATCTTTTTCTTTTTTTTTCCCCTTAAATATCAAATATATACTGAAATTCAATTTTTCAGATGTTGATGAGTGTCAGTTTGAAAACGGTGGTTGCGAATTTCGATGTCTGAATACGGAAGGTGGATATCGTTGTGAGTGTCCGCCAAGAATGCAACTTCATTCAAATGGTCGTCGATGCGTCCGTAAGAATCTCGCACTGTTTACAATTGATAGTTGAATTTAGATAAACAATTTAAGTAATTTTATTCAAAAAAATTTTCACCAACTTAACACTAACAAATTTTCGTTATTGATAACAGTAATAATTAACTGTTTTGGCAATTTTGCTACTCGAAAACTGATAATATAAATGCAACTGCTATTCATCCATTAATAATTGTATTTTACATAAAAGTTTCCATTTTCAATTTTTGGAAAACTTTCCAATGTTTGTTTTCTTTTTTTGAAAGGGAAATTTTGTTTGAAAAAAGGTACCCGAAAAAGGGTTTTTTGTTGAAAGTAATTGCATAAATTAAGAATGAAAGGTGAAGAGGATGTAATAGAGAGGGAAAGGGATGGAAAAGAATGAATGGATAAAAGGGAAAAAGAGAGGAAGAGAGAAGGAGACAGAAACAAAGAAGGAATTTTGTCTTTGTTAGACGAAATCATTCAAAATAATCCGGCGGATGATGAAAAAAATAAATGGTAATAATAAATAGCAATTATTAACGCAGAACACAGGAAAGAAGCACAGAAGCAAACAACAAAAGAGGAAATGATATGACGTAAACGTGAACGTGAACGTGAACGTGAGTGAGATCAGATCGAATGAAGTGATACTAATGTTCATCAATATTTATCAAAATGCATGAATGAGAGTTAAAAAAGTTTGATCATGAGAAGAAATGATAATTAAAATTAATCAATCATATTCCAATGATCAATTTAGTTTAACAATAATGTCTCACTGATTAGCAATCCGATCTTCTTATGTAATCAATGTAAAAATCTTGTGCAAATTTATTATCGACCATACATAGCTTCTAGTTACTTCAAAATATTCAATAATATTTCTTCTTGCTTCATTGATGATCTTCTTTCCTTCTCTGAATGCATGCATGCATGCATGCATGCATCTACTGCATTTACTGAGACTAACACAGCTAATATTTCTCCATTCAGTATAAACCGAAAGTTGGATCAAATGCTTATGAGAGGAAATTATCCAACAAATCATAATATATGTAAAATTATTAAAAGTGAAAAAGTTAATTGCTTTATGCTAAAAGTATCTTTCAGGTGAAAACATTTGCGCAACAGATAATGGTGGATGTGAGCACATTTGCGAAGAAAGACATGGACGATTTCATCGATGCAAGTGTCGTCAAGGGTTCAAACTAGCTAACGACAAGCGGCGATGTCATCGTAAGTAATTGGCATTATAAATAGTTGAATTATCAATAGTTCTTTAAAAAGACAAAAAGAATGGCTAAGATTTCGTTTAAAGATTTCGAAAACAAATACATCTTTGAACATTATAAAATTAGGAAACTTGTGATAAACTGTGTTAAAGGAGAAATTGGAAACAATTTTATTTAAAGTGGGAAGTGGAAGGAATTTCTTTTAATTATTAAATTTCGCATTATTTCATAAAAATTTTGAGAAAAATTTTCTGCAAGCAATTAGCTTGCAGAAAATTGGTTTAGAAAGAATCCATTAAAAGTGTCAATCAAATGAATCATTTGAAGTTCAAAGTTTGCAAATAAAATTGGCTCTTTATTTTGTTGAAACATAGAAGATTAAAGATTCTCATGAACGATTGAGTAGAAGAAAAGATGGAAGAGGGAAGAATAGATGAAAATCTCTTTTGAATAATTTAATATGCCTAAGCCTAAGCCTACCTGCTACAGTCTATTGTTTAGCCTAAAGATAATTGTCCATTGTTATTGCTATTGCTGCTGTCCTCTTTCTAAATCTCCCATTCAATAAATGATGACAAACAATATTATGAAGGGAAAATAGACCTTCAAATACAAAATCATATCTTTTTTGCTCTCAAATGACTTTTGAAAATGGTAAAATAATTTTAGTAAAAACAAAAAAAAAAAGACAAATGAAATATTTATTCTTGTTTTCTTGAAAATATTACTTCATTTATTGCATAATGTCCGAGAAATCTACTAAGTAAGTCATACAATATCAATTCATTCATCAATTTCCGGAATTTCCGGTAATTCTATCACTTCTTATAAATTCATTAAAACTTCACAAATTTTATGATTCTATGTAACTGTGTAGGAAATAATGCATTTTAAGGTTACAGGTAAAATGTTACTTCCATTGTTTACCTTAGTAATTAATTTTGTTAAAATAAATTTTAGCGATTGATCCTTGCGCGATAAATCGTGGTGGTTGCGAGCAACACTGTGTGAATGATAACGGAAGAGCCGTATGTCAATGTTATCATGGTCTCAGGATTGGACCGGATCAGAAATCATGCGTTGGTCTGTCAAATATTTGAAAAATAAATAAGAACTTTGGACATTTAAAGTTGTAAGCTGTAGCATAAGCTATGGTAACAGACCATGAAAAAAATTTTTAGTAATTTGAATGAAATATTGATTGATTTTTATAAATTTTGTCTAAATTAATTTCTTTTCTAACAATTCACTGTTAATATTATTATCATTATCAAAAAAAGAAATCAAAAATTTTTTGAGGAAAAATATGAAAATGAAATAAAAATTTTTCTTGCAGATATCGATGAATGCGCAACAACAAAAAATTCAGAATGCCAGCATGAATGTGTTAATGTTTATGGAACATACAGGTATTGCAAATTTAATTTCTTTTTCTGAAATGCAAAATGGATGAAGCATTATTTGTTGAATTATTTACTAAAGTAGTATACTAATGAGAATGAATCATTATTTCTACCGGATTCGATAAAATAATTTCAAAAAAAAAAAAACAAATTCGAAAAGAATACGGAAGACTGCAATTAAATGACAATCAATCTTTTGTCAATTTCTTCTTCCTGTTCAAAGTTTCTAGCGCAAACTAATTGCTATTTCAAAATCTCATTTGAAAACTTCTTTTTATTTTGTCTCATTTATTAATTTCTCATTTGTCTGCCAGACAGTCAAAGCTTAAATGTGAAAGTTAAAATGTGAGCTGCAACAATGGCAAATATTGGTTCAAAATTCTTGGCGCAAATGACCTATTTTATAGTAGTTGTAATCAGCTTAGCCAATAGTATGTGTTAAACCAAACCAATAAAATTACTGTAAATTCATTGAAGGTGTCGTTGTCGCCCTGGATATCGACTACTACCAGATGGACGCCATTGCAAACCAATAATTGATCCGTGTCAGGTAAAACGGAGACTGCTTTACAAAATTCATACTGTATGTAAATATATAAAATAATAATTCATATGAGAAATTAAATGTAGAATAAATATTTCTTGAATATAAATAAATGGTAAAATAAGCAAATTAATAAAATGCCATAAATGTTAAGATAAGATGAAATTATAGGATAAAAATGGAGGTTGTGAGCAAATTTGTGAAAGTAATGAAGATGGTAGTCTGAAATGCTCTTGTAAATCCGGTTATCAACTTATCAGCGATGATAAATCATGCTCTGGTAAATTTTTCGCAAATATCAACAATAATTTCTCATTCCAATTAATAATAATAATAATTTTACAATTCAGTAATTTTGTAGGCAAACTACTTCTAATCGTTCAAGAAGTAATTTTATATTGCTAAAAGTTATGATTTTAATATGTAAATAATCTTTCAGATATTGATGAATGCACCGACAATAACGGTGGCTGCAAGCAACTTTGCATTAACTTACCTGGTAGCTATCAATGTTCTTGCAAAACTGGTTTCCTATTAATTTACGATGGCAAAACTTGTGAAGGTTACTTCTATTGCACAGTTTTTTTTTTTTTTTCTTTTCTTTTTTTTAAACTCTTTCTTCAACTGATACTTCTTGATAGCTTTGCAGATATTAATGAATGTATTGCAAATAATGCTGGTTGTGAGCATACCTGTATTAATGAAGAAGGTGGATATGCATGTACCTGTGAAGTTGGCTATAATTTAGCATCTGACAACCATTCCTGCTATGGTTCAAGTTTTCTTCCTCTTAAATTTAAACAAATAAAAAATCTCTTAATACAAGCATCCTATTAAACAATAAAATTAATATTATAATATTATTAAATTAATACAATGAAATAAACAAAGTAGTAGAAGTTAAAATATATTTCATTTTTATATCTTCTATTCTTTTTATATTTTACTACATATAGTAGCAAGCAAGGCAATAGTTAAAATTTTCACGAATTAAAAAAAGGACAAATAAAAGCTTTCAAAAATAGAAAAAAAAAAAAAGAGAAAGGTATATAATTATTAATAGCTATTATTAAGCAATCACTGATAAAATATTCACTAAGAAAATGTTATACAATCTGATGCATTTAATATATATTTCTATTTATTAAAATTTATGTGAAATTTCATGAATTAAAATGGAAATTATTATTTAGATATTAATGAATGTTTATCAAATAACGGTGACTGTAGTCAATTGTGCAAGAATGAGGAAGGCAGTTACCATTGCAAATGCTTTCGTGGTTTCAGTCTTGCAGAAGATGGCAAAACATGCATTGGTAACATTTTCCTTTTCATATATAAATTCTATTTATTTTGTTAATTTAAATGAAATAGCAAACACTATATGAGTTAGTTAAATTTTTAATTGACACAATTAAAATTTGAATTCATTTCAGCATCACTTTTATCAGATTTGTTATTTGCACATTTAACAACTGATTCTGCTCCTCCTAGCATCAGACGTACGTGTATCTAAGTGTAACTTTTACAGTACTCGTACTACTGTTAATTGTAGTATTTGTAGTGATTGTGTTTGCATGCATAATTATTGCATATCTTATTTCTCTAATTATCAAACATAACTTTAAAATCAAAGTAATACTAAATAATTAATAAATTTTAAAAGCAAAATAGTACCAAATAATCAAAGCAGTATGAAGTGATGCGACATATATGTGACATATACATCCCAAAAATTCAGAAATTGTCATTTCAGATAAAAAGATTTCTTTTTATAAATATACTGTAATTAACTTAATGATTCGTGTCTTATTATTGTGGGAATTCTGTTATTTATAAGAAAATTACCTCAAATTATTTAGCAATGAGTGCATGCTTCTTGTGTGGTACTTAATTTCAGAGCATGCAAGACAGGTAGAATTATTAAGACTGATTGATCATTCAGAACACAATGATATGATGTTTCGTCAACAAGAACACTCGGAAATTTCAATAGAAGATGAAAGCATACCGCAGGATCTTCCTAAATTGTCACATTTTGGTGCTATACGTATGCTCCACAGTCTTCCTACCGGTCAATTACATCTTATTTTTGAGTTTATTTCATTTATTTGAGAATGTAGCGAATTTACATGATCGTTGAAAAATATTCTATTAATAAAAATGTTATTTTATTCGTTAAAAAAAAAAATTCTATTCGTTGAAAAATAGATTATTAGTAGTAGATTCTGGACAGGAGTATGCTAATATTTGTTTACCTGTTTTGTAATTAGTTATGTGTTGTAGCTTATAAGCTCATTAGGTATTTTACAATATCATTTCTATGAAACTTCATACAACTTTCCATGTCAGTTGATCTGTATCTTGATTGATAAACAGATATAAGAATTAATATCCTGAAGATAACTGGAGAATTGAGGTTGTAAAAAAAAGCATAACAGCCATACACCGTTAGGAGTAGTAGTGGTTGTTGCTGTTGTTTTTGTTGTCGTAATGTTCACGTCATTGGCTTATATCATTGTCGTAGCATTCACGTCATTGGCTTATATCATCGTCGTAATGTTCACGTCATTGGCTTATATCATTGTCGTAGCATTCACGTCATTGGCTTATATCATCGTCGTAACGTTCACGTCATTGGCTCATATCATTGTTGTATTTTTATTGTAGTAAAAAGTTATTAGTTCATTTTTGTTAAGCTAAAGCCAATTTGAGTATTATATATATATTTTTTCATTTATAGCTTGCGAATATGGACGATTTGGAAAAGATTGTCGTTATCGATGCGTTGATTGTAAAAATGGAGGTTAGTTAAATTAACGCTATGAATAATAATTATAATTTTTACTACATTGGTATACTACATGAATCAATTTTTCATTTATATTTCTTATCCATTCATTTTATTTTTATAATTTTTTAAATCTATCCTGTAAACTTTACTTTTCTATGCTATTCATTTACAGATGTATTTTTACAGGAAAATGTCGTCGTGATAAGAGTGGTTGTGAATGTGCTTCCGGATATACCGGTGTAGTTTGTGAGGATCAATGTGCAGAAGGTACATGGGGATTGGGTTGTAAAAAAGCATGCGAATGTAATGGACAAATTTGCAATCATATTACCGGTGAATGCGATTGTCCGGATGGTGCCGAATGTGACGATAGTTGTCCGGCTGGTCTGTTTTTACATAACAACTGTTTTCTTGTTTGGAAGTTTAAAATTTAGCTTTCATTTTTCATTTTTCGAAATAAAGAAACAAGTGTTACATATCTGATTCTTTCTTACTTTCATGTAAATATAGAAAGATTTCTATCTTATCATTTATTTAAATCTCTGTCTAACCAACAACAACATAGGCTTCTATGGACCTTCGTGCAATTTACCGTGTCAGATGACCTGTAACAGTGGACGATGTGACAGGAAATATGGGTATTGCTCTTGTCCAAGTGGTTATTATGGTGAAAAATGCGATCAGATTTGTCCACGATTCAGTTATGGTCGTAATTGTCGCCATGTTTGCAACTGCGAGAAAGAATACTCAGAAGGTTGTGAACCAAAGGTATCATTATGCTATTACACTTTGAATTTAATATAGTCTATCTTAATTGTATCTCAAGAAAGATTACGAGATTGTACAGATGGCAGATAATTACTAGAAACAATCAGGAAATTGAACAAAATAATGAAAAGTTAATTTATAGACTGGAAAATGCATTTGCAAAAGTGGTTTCTACGGTCCATTCTGTAAACGACGTTGTCCGGTTGGTCTCTACGGACAATCCTGTACCAAAAAGTGCAGATGCGCTGAAAATCAGGAATGTGATTCTACTACTGGCGACTGTCTCAAAAAATGTCGTCCAGGATATACCGGTGATCAATGCCAAACACGTAAGTTTACAAATTCATTCATCATTTTCTATCTGTTGATTAATTCTATGATATGTCTAACAACTATTGCCTCTTGAATTTTTTTTTTTTAAGTTTTGTGATTTATTTTAAATAAACTAAATACGTATATCAATTTTCTCTGGATCAATTGCACGCTATTTGATGTCTTCTTTGTGTACAGTGCATGCAGTGAGCACAAATGGCATGCAAATATGCGTGCAATAAATTTAATAAATGCACTAATTTCCAGTTCTGCAATTTCAGCTTGTCCTGCCGGTATGTACGGATATAACTGTACTCAGAAATGTGCATGCGAAACAGGTACATCTCAAGTATGTCATCATGTCACCGGAACATGTGCATGCCGACCTGGTTATTACGGTGTATTGTGTGATAAGAGTGAGCTAATCATCTTTTTTTTTTTTTTGAAAATTTTGAAGCATGTAATAAAAATACATGCAAAATGCATGCTGAAGTTTTAATTTGTTTTTTTTTTTTTTTGCATGCAAAGAAGCATAATGATTTAAATATTGCTTGCAAATATGAGAATGCATCCACTCAATTCCATTCAGAGTAACTCAGATCTGTACATTGCATTTTGATTACATATAATTTACTTTATCATTAGTGAAAGGTCATTAATGTGAACTGCTAACTATGTTATATCTTCTATTTCACAAATTATCTTTTTTGCTAATGAAAGGGTTTAACTGATTATGATTATCAGTAATTATCAGTATCACTAGCCTAGTTATATTAGTAATCACTGTATGATAATTAAATTAAATACAAATTATTTGCAGCTATAAAGATTAATTTAACTGTTAATTATGAAATGAACAAAAATACATTAAACCGTTTCAGTGTGTCCTAGTGGCTTATACGGTCCCAACTGTCAACATGAATGTTCCTGTAAAAATAATGGTACCTGTAATAGCAAAGATGGTTCATGCATCTGTCCAGCAGGATATTATGGTGCCACTTGTAGTGAAGGTATTTTATTTCTTATTATTATTCCAGGCTGTATGTGTGTTGCTGGAAGAAGATTTGATCTACCTGTGCAACTTTACAAAGTATATACTATTGCACTAATAATGAAAAATCTTACACTGATTTTGTTTATTGGTGGCAAAAAAGAAGATGCAAAGTGAATTCGAACTTTGAAAAGACCAATGAATGAATTTTTAAAACAGTTGTTTTTCGGGAAATCATTAACATCAGAGACAACTGATTAGAACATCAAAGCAAACAAGATGATGAGTTGTTGTAAAGACGAGTGTAAATGTCAATTACAATTTGTTTACTGATAAACAGCTTCGAACTTTGATGTCTCTGCTTTGGAACTTGTTAGATAAAATTATTTAACACATTAAATAGAACTTACTTGATATATACTTATTGCTAACTTCTTGTTTACTTGATATGTTCTGCAAGATTAAAGTCGTTAGTTTGCTATTCGTTTGAAATTGAAATATGATTAGGATAATCAGTCATTGGCATTGCAAATTTTAAAATCAATTTTAATTTCAATTTTGCTACATAAATTGAAATTGCAGTTTGTCCAAGCAATCATTTTGGTCTAAATTGTATGCAACTTTGTGACTGTCATAATGGCGCTGATTGCGATCCTTCAAATGGTTTATGCAAATGTTTGACCGGTTGGAGTGGTCAGAAATGCGATATACCATGTCCGGAAGGATATTTTGGTATTAATTGCAACGAGCGATGTAATTGCGAACAAGGAGTGCAATGTGATCCAACTGATGGGGAATGTACTTGCCCGCCGGGATATCACGGGAAAAACTGTAAGCAACGTAAGTTCTTTAGTGCTATCTTTACCTTCATTTTTCTCTTTTTTTGGGGGAGAGAGAATGAGGAGACAATTGAAGCAATTCTGTTTCGCAAAATTTACATTGGAAAGTTTAAATGAGACAAAGGATGATATATTGACAAAGCTAATAGCTTCTTTATAGAATAGCTTGTACAATGAGTGATATATTGATTGTTTTTTAAAAAATAGTTTAAAAATTATTGTGAAAGGATTGAATTCCATTCTATCCATTGTCTGGGGACAAATTTCTATCATATGCTAATGATATTTTAGAATGTGAGGAAGGTTATTTTGGTAATCGCTGTAAAGGTATTTGTGTTTGTCGAAATGATGCCACTTGTGATCCAATCAATGGTGTTTGCACTTGCAAGCCTGGTTGGCGTGGCCAGTACTGTGATAGGCCATGTCCTGATGGACGATACGGTGCTGGTTGTAGAAAGATCTGCGATTGCTCTTCATCATTTAGTTAGTATCTTCAATATTAACAACACTCCATTGCTTTACACTTGTTTCCCACTTCTTTTGTTTCGGTTTCTGTAAAAAAAAAGTTAATAAAAGCTAATAATAGAAATGTTTAGCTTCAGAGAATACTGAAATAACACCATTTACCTTGAAATGCCATCCAGTAACCGGAGAATGCCTTTGTGCTGAGGGTTGGACTGGGTCTAATTGTCGAACGCCGTGTCCTTCAAACAGGTAATTTATGGGATAGAATTATAACTTTTTTGAATGCTACTGTTTGCTACTGTTTGATATTATTATATTCGCAAAAAATTTATTTTAAGAAAACAATCAAAATTTGATTGGCAGAATTTTAATTATTCATTACTTTCTTTTTGTTGTAAGGGATTAAGCTGTTATAACATTTCCGATAGATTATTTAAGAAGAAATAACTGCCCAAGAAAATTTAATCTAGAAACTATCCAAAACTTTAGATGTTAAAAAAATTTTTAATTGTTTTATCACAAATTTATTACTTATATTTTTTATCCTACATTATAAAATTGATTGAATTGATGTATATTGCAGATGGGGCATTGGTTGTAATGAGGAGTGTCGGTGCATGAACAATGGAATTTGTGATCGATTTACAGGGAATTGTGATTGTCCAGCGGGATTTATGGGACCAAACTGCGAAGAAGGTGATTGATTGATTGATTGATCGGTTGATTTGTTTTGCTTAGAGGCGCATAATGTTTATTCAAATCAAACCAAAATATTATTATCCAAAGATTAATAAGTTTGTTTTGTTGTAATAGAATGTCCATCCGATCACTATGGACCCAATTGTAACAATCATTGTCTTTGCATGCACAATGGTACTTGCGACCCTAAGAATGGTACCTGCAAATGTGCAGCGGGTTGGACCGGACCTGCATGTGAATTTAGTAAGTTCATTGCTCAAAAATATCATTCTGTTTTAACAGTGAACTGAAATTTATAGCTTCTAAATTGATTTTTTCAATTTCGGGAACTCATATCAAAAATGTTTAAAATAATAATCAGTTATAACACCGATTACATTACGATATCAAAAATTTCAATTTTCATTTTTTATTTCTAATTTTTCATTTTTTCCTTTATCACTACTCTTTGTTTTGCTCCAAACATAAATTTTTATTGGAATAGCAATCATTACGTTAAAGTTCTCTTCAGGTATTCAGGTATAATACCACTTTATCTACTGCTTAAATTGCATCACACTTTATATTATCTGTTTTTAGCGTGTCCATTTGAACGGTATGGAATAAATTGTGAGCAAACATGTAATTGTATGCGAGGTGCAAGTTGCAATCGTACAGATGGTACTTGTCAATGTTTACCTGGTTCCATTGGTGAAAGGTATATATGGTATCATATTTTAAATTCAGTTCAATTTTTTTCAACACATTTTCAAATGATTACTGAGCATAATCATTTAAAGATTCTCATCCGACGACTAAACATTCTTCTATATGTAATTTTTATATTTTTCATACTTTATACAATCTAATCTTAATGCTTATCCGTTGCTTTAACTTTTAAAGCTAAATTTAGATGTGAGCGCATTTGTCCTCATGGTTTGTTTGGTGAACATTGCGAAGAATTATGCTTGTGTGAAAATGGTGCAAGTTGTGATCCAATCAGTGGTCACTGTCACTGTGCTCCTGGTTGGCGTGGACGCAAATGCAATCGACGTAAACAAATTTTGCTTTTGCTTCAAATATTTCAAATTCTTTTCTTGAAAAATTAAGATTTTTAAAAATTTAGATTCCAAATATAATGAATGCTCAACGATACATTTTTCTAAAATTTTATTGATGAAAAGAGCCGCTTCTAATGAAATGCACATAACTTGTGATAATGTTTTACAGCATGCCTTAAAGGCTATTATGGAAAGCATTGTGCCTTAGCTTGTCGATGTCCGAATCAGAAACCATGCAATCATATCACCGGTCGCTGTCATTGTCCCAACGGTTACACCGGTCATTCCTGCACTGAACTTTGTCCTCTTGGAACATTCGGCGAGAACTGTGCACAGCAGTGTGAATGTGCGCCAAATGCGAACTGTGATCCAATCACTGGGAAGTGTTTCTGTAAGCCAGGATATGCAGGTGTCGATTGTGCCCAAGATAAGTTCCATAATTCACTTTGTAAATTTCGTATTTTTATTCAGTGATCACTATAGTAACATAATTGATTGCTCTGATTCCCAGCAGTAGTAAATTTTGCATATTTTTCATTGTATTCTTGTTCCATTTTAAATTAATTGTTCTCTGAGTATAATTGATTCAAATCTTTTTCCACTTTAAAACAAATTGAAAATCAATTTGCTGCTACATCAACAATATAGCCTAAACTGATGTGATTATAGGTTGTAATTTCAATGACATTTGCTTAATTTATAATTATTTACTGTTCATAGTTCTAATTTAGGATGTATTCAAGGACGATATGGTATAAATTGTGATGGTATTTGTCAGTGTATGAACGGTGGTACTTGTGATAAGACAACTGGACAGTGTATTTGTCCACCAGGTTTTGTTGGTACCAAGTGTGAAGTGCCTTGTCCAGCAAATCGGTTTGGTGAAAAGTGTGAAAAACTGTGTCAGTGTGAGAATGGTGGTACTTGTGATCGTGTAACAGGTCAATGTCGTTGTGGAACTGGTTTTACCGGCTTACGATGTCAACAGGTATGCTCCGAAGGACGTTTCGGACCTGGATGTCGTGAAAAATGCCGGTGTGCTAATCAGGCGCATTGTGATCCAGTGACGGGCGCTTGCAGGTAGGTATATTGCAACTGTTAATAATCTGTTTTGTTGTTCCAGAAATTAAAAATAAAATAAAATTCCAATCCGGTAATAATATGCCAAATTCATTCAGAGAATGTAGTATCTTTTTTTTGGATAAATTATTGTTACAAATTAAATTTTCAATCTGTGATAGTAATTTCTTTGTTTTTGAAACAAACAACAAATATAATCTGTTATTGCAGATGTTCGTTAGGGTACACCGGTACTACCTGTGATCAACCCTGTCCAGATGGTAAGTATGGACCAAATTGTACGTTAGACTGTGAATGTCATGGCAGTGTCAAATGTGACCCTGTACAAGGTTGCTGTGATTGTCCGTCAGGTCGTTATGGTACTCGCTGCCAGTACAGTATGTTTTTTTTTATGCCTTCGTTTCATTATATTGAAATTAATATTCAAAAGAAAGAGAAAAACACTTTGATTGTTGCTTAGAATTATGATGGATTTTCAAAATATGCCTTTTATTCTGAATTAATTATTTTTTTTTTTAATTGAACATATTAGACACTTAAAGAAAAAGAGTTCAGTATTGAAATAGTTTTTTTAGTCTTAGAAATTATTGAAATACTATTTTTTGCTTTAGAAAAACGTCTCCAATTAATTAAACCATTGAGAAAATGTATTGTTAAAAATTTGTGAAAATTTTGTAGCATGTCCAGCTGGATTCTATGGTTGGTATTGTAGTCAGAGTTGTAATTGTCAGAATGGTGCGACATGTGATCCTAGTGATGGTCAGTGTCGCTGTCCTTCAGGATATTTTGGCAAGCAGGTCTATATTTGTTGCCCTTTCTTAAATCTTTTCGATTATACTTTTAATCATTCCTTTGACATTTTGACTTACAATCAGTCAAAAGCAAATACGTGTTATTTCTGTGATCAAAGAAATGTAAGTGTTAAATTTTTGTTTTTTTTTTTTCTAAAATATTTTATTTTTCTTATTTTTGAGACATAAATGACATTAACTTATGATCAAAATAATTCCGCAATGCATAATTTGTGAAATACTCAATTTTTAATTTTGTATAGTCGAACTTTTTAGTGTGAACGTTCCTGTACCAATAATACCTACGGTCCACACTGTCAACTATTTTGTGATTGTGGCGAATTTCAATGTGATCCAAAAACTGGAAAATGTGACTGCCCTTTAGGCTTGCATGGTGCTAAATGTAAACAGGGTATGTATATTTTGCTGATGAAATTATAAAAAATAATTTCACTAATTCTAAGGACATAATTTAATGAATTCAATGTTATACTAATTGATCAATGATTTCTAAAATTTGTATGTATTCTAACCTGACAAACGGTTAAGCTGCAAACTGTTAGCTAAATATATTTTTTTGAACCAATATTATGCAAGAAAATTAATTTAGCCTATTTTTACCGTATAAACCGCAACTTCATAACCTTTAATGTTTCTTTAAAGGATGGATACGATAATACCTGAAAATGATTTCTACTTTTATAGTATGTCGACCAGGACGTTACGGAAAAAATTGTGAATATCGATGTGAATGTTACAATGGTGCAACATGTGATCGGGTTACCGGTCAGTGTACCTGTGCACCAGGATATCTTGGCTCAACTTGTCAGCAGGAACAGTTTGGTACGGTTTATGCTAAACAATTTGTATTGTGGTTTTTGTGGTTTAATAAAATTTTTAAATAATTAATAAATTAAAAAAGCTTTCTTCCATACAAGATCGAATTTATTATCTACATTTCATGTTTTCCTGGATTTTTAGACATGGAAAGTATTGCAAAACGTGGCGATCTTCCGGAATATGATTTCCGTAGGAAGCGGTAGCATCATCTTTTTTATGCAATTTAGGAATGCAAATATTTTATAAATCATTATCAAATTGCTCTAACCGAGTGCTATAGCATTATAATTTTCGTTTAATCATCAATGGAAGCTTAATTAGTTCATTTAATTGATCGGGATAATTTTTGAAGTTATCGTAATTATCACTGATCAAGCATGAAAACATCCTTATCGCACGGGTAAATCATCATCCTGGTCGAAACAAAAAATTCTAAACCGATCTTTCAATTATTTCTTGACGAAATTATAGAAAATGAATTTATGCTTCTCTTTATGCTTCATTCTGTTATTATTATCACATTGTATATCAGCTGATAATGCATCTTATATTATCATTTATTGAATAGCTGCCAAATTTTTATATGAAAGTGAATAAAAAGATGTTACATTTCTTTTATTTCCTCGTTGTAGTTGCAATTTGAAAAAAAAAAAGTCATTAAAAGCAAGTGAAACTCACTTCAATTCTAAAAGTTTCATGGAAGATACTATGCACATTTCAGAGGTAAAATATTTATATATTAGAAGAAAGATTATGATATATTTAGATTATAATTAATTTGTTCAGAAAAATATTCATTTTGTGATCAAATGGAGTGAAATAATTTTAACGATAACCTCGAAAATGCTATTAAAATGTTGTCTAGAATTGTTAGTCTTAATATGATTGATTGGATTTTAAGGTATTCTTTGCTTTTCAATTTTGTTTATCTCAGAAGCTGAATTAACAAGAGTAAATTATAGAGTTGCTGAGCTACTCTTCCTAATTCTGTGTAGCTCATTTCATCAAGAAAAGATTAAAGCATATTTGAGCTAACTGATAATCACTCAGTAATCCTATCCTTCAAATTAATTTTATTATCAGTGGCGAATTAATTAGTCAAAGCCATAATAAACCTCCTCTTTTTTGTCTTACCTTAAATTTTAGTTATTCATTTAAAAAAATTTTCTTTAAATTGCGTAGTAATTGGATTTATTATTTATAAGTCGGTATGATTGCTGTTGCAAAGTTTGTTTTTCTGCGTTGAGAGTTTGAGAAAAAATTTTGAGAGAAAATTATGCATCCTTCCATATAAGAATGAGTTCATTACGATAATTAAAATCGACAATTAGCTAACTTAATTATTCTTTTACGTACTTTTACGTAAGATTCACGCACGATTCTGAAGATTTTTTCATTCATTTTATAGTTTTAATTTTTTTTTTTGTCTGCAAATTTTGCTAAGCGAAAATGATTTTGGAAAAATTATAACGAATGTCCAATGAATCACATTTATGACTTTGAATGCTAGAATATTCTTTCTAATGTAATTCTTTCCAGTTTAAACTTTTCTTATTATTACTGATTAATAATATTTCACTTGAATGAAAAACAGTTCAAATATTCATGAATAATCATTATGGTTAGATTTTTCTTTTGCATAAATTTTAAATTTTTGATTAAATTTCACGAATTATACACTGCAATTTAGGTAGTCAGAAATTTGTAATTTAACTGTAATTCATTAAGCGAAAATGAATTTTTCTACGAAATGGATCCTCTTAATCCTCTTAAATCTAGTATTCCAAAACGGATTTGCACATGAAATTATTAATTCGAAAAACAGATTTCAGAATATATACAATTGAGCTAATTACTTTTAAACAAAATAAACCTCAAAAGTAAGGTTAATTCAGTCAATTAATTAAATAGGATACCGAATATTGCTTTGTATTGTTTTCGATAGTAATAATAAAGAGCTAAAAAGTATATATTATTTTCCATTTCCAAAATTCTTTGCTATTTAGTAAAATATGATCTATTGGATATTGAAGAACTTTAGAAATTGAAGATCAATCGAAATTTGATTTATTTTAAAATTGAAGTTCAATGGTTGGTATATGTTCCTGTAATTTCTCTGTATAACCTTGTTGACCTTTTATGTATGTAAAAGATCAAAGAATCCGATGAATCATCTTATATCAGCGATAAGCAATGTCAAAGTCTGAAAATGAATAATGCAAATGATAAGAGAAGCTGCTGCATGAAGGAATATTTTAATCTAAGACATTAAATTAAATGTCATAGATGTCAACAGAATTCAAACAATATTATTGTTTAATGTATGTACATATCACATAAGAGCATAAGGAGAACAACTAATAGTTACTGCGACATTTTAGAATTATATTTCATTAATAGATGAAACTGAATGTTTGTTCAAATTTGTTATAATACCTATCGGTGGCAGCAAGCGATCCGTTGAAGATAAAAATTGCGATGCACAAATCTAAAATTCGTTTTTTTTCTTGTTTTAGAATAATGTATTAAAAGAACCATATGTAATGATAAAAGATAGTAATATCTTAAAAAATTCAACATTATTATTATCATTACCATCAATTTTTTTTTTTAATTTAGTAATTTTAATTTCAATTTAGATTTACCGTTTGTTCCTGCTGCAAACCAATAGTTGTCTCATCCATATTATAGCTTTCGCTACCAATTACTGATGAATCCAATGTTAGAGCAATCACAATTATACCCAAAATATCACATTAAATTATAAATGTATCGTAGAATAACTCTAATTTCAATTTAAAGCTTACATTCATCTCTTAATAAATTTTTCAAATAAATATTATTAATAATAATGATGCATCTATGAATTACGGATTATTAGAACCAGTCGACCTTTCCGGTCAGTTTGTATCATTCACTAGGTGAATGTACAGTATGTTACTGTACTACTAATATAATTTCTGCATAAATTATTGTGCTAAAAATCATAATACTAACCCGTAACAAGTAAGGCAATACTGAGCAATGAAATAATTAGTACAACGATCACGTTGAAAGTGACATTTACGTTTGTTTCCCAGCTAGATGCCGGATCGTCCGACATAAGCAAAATACGGACTACTTCATCTGCGTCTGAAAATATGATATATATTAATTTTACTTTATGTATGTGTGTACGTAGTAATATGTATGTATGTGTGTGTGTGTGTGTGTGTGTATGTGTGTGTGTGTTGTGTGTGTGTGTGTTATCTTAAAATTTGAATGAAATAGAATATCTCCTTCAGCATTCCTGTAGTTTGCTCTATATATTTTATTTTAATATTGCCATTATTATTCGATTAGTGACCAATAATGATTCTTTTGATCAAAATTTCCTGATTTTTTAGCTTTGTTTAGTCCATTAAACTGAAACATTACGGAAACCTGTCGTTGGATCATTACGTGAAATGACACGTTGACGTATATTCAAATATTCATAAGCGGCAATGAGTAATAAGCAAATAAGAATTGCTAGTGCAAATCGCACTAGAAGACGCATACAATCGACCTCATACAGCAAATAACAATACTGAGTCGTTGTTTTTCCACCCAGTAATACTCCCTTTTTCCGGATTTAAGGCCCCTCTGTTCGGCTTGAAGGAGCACAATCAAATAACTGCAACGATTTAAGCTCGATCACATAATTATGATGTATTAATCATAGGTGATTACACGTATTGTTTACTTCAATAAAACATAAAATAAATAACTTTTACTTTATAATTATTAACTATTTTCAAACGATTTCTTTGCTAATTTTAAAGTTATTGGCTTATTTTCAATATTTTAAATGATATTTAAGAAAATATCGTTGTTTACAAGATTTTTCAACTCAAACAGTATTTACATTTATTTGTTTAGCAATAAATGACCATTAGTAATTGTAAAGAAAAAAGATATCAGAATGAGCTAAGAGCAATTTATGATCAATTTTTCCGTCAACAACAACTGTCAATGCTGTTCAGTATTATAATAATTGAAGATAAAAAAGTATCTTAGTAAGATATTTTGATACACAGAAGAATATTTCATTAAAAGGATGAAGAATTGATGAGTGATATCTATTCATTGTCACATTCGATGATAATGAAAAGAAGAAAGCAAAAAGATAGAGAGAGGGAGAGAGAGAGGGAGGGAGAGAGAGAGAGAGAAATCTTCAAGTAGTACCAAATAAATGGGATTAATGATTGGATAAATTCTGGTTTGTCATTCATTATTCATTAAGTAGTGATATGATGTCATATGATACGCTGATCCGAAATCTGGCGGTGCAGAGAGAAATAATAGAAAATTATGCCACAAAATAGTTGAAATGAAAAACAAAGAGAGAGAGAGAGAGAGAGAGTAAAAGGAATAAACAAAAAGAGAAAATTGTTAATGAAATTGATGCAATGTGTGTCATTTGCGTAGATTTTTTTTCATTAATCTAAACTAAACTATCAAAGCGGTGAAAAATTATTATTATATGGTTTATGTGAATGTAATGATCGAAAAAATAAATAAATAAAAGGGATGGGAGAGAAAAACTAGTTTAATTGAAAATGAAATTAAGATAAAATTCAAGATTATGGAAGCTGACTATATTAAAGTCATAAAATACTTGCACATAAGTAAATTTATAAAGTTAAATAGTAACTAATTTATTTCATTGATATTTTGTACTATGAATGAATAGCAATGAGATGAAGAAAAAGAAAAATGAAAAGATTGGTTGATTGAATTTTGAAATTATTTTTCAATTTTAAATTTCCTAAGGATAAAATTCGCTATGCATATTTCCTATTCTCCTTGTGCCGATATTTTAAGCTTATTTATGGGAGGATTTGGTTACATAATGGATAATAAAACCTCATAAATATGCAACCTTAAAAGAAGTCTTTTTTTTTTTATAAAGAATTATACAAAGCCTAAAATATTAAAACAAGAGAAGAGAGATAAGAGTTATTATGAAACGATGAAACATTTTTCATTTCCACTTGTAAACATAAAAATTAGATTTGCAATGATTGAAATTAGAGTAACGGACTATATGGGAAAATCAAATGAGAATTTAAGTTATAAATGAAATCGATGAAAATAAACGAACGAATTAAGTAAGAGAAATGATTGCTAGATGTGCTAATAGGAGAAAATAAATCCTTTTGAAATCATTAGCAATAATTTTGTTAAATTCTTAAGCAAAAAAATCATAAAGTATTATATTTCCAACTGTTATAAAAAAAATGAATGCATAGTTTAAAATGTTGCACCAAATTTTAGAATTAAATTAAATAATTCAGGCTTTAAAAAGCTAAGAAATGCTTACTTTAACAGCTGGATGAAATATATTAAATAGTTAGCATTTAGGACACTTTATAAAATGAATGCATGAGTGGATGATATAATAAAAGGACAATTGAACTGGATGAGGCATGTAATCCCAGTTTGATAATAATTGCTAAAATAATTGAATTGCGACGAATGCATTTTATGAAGAGCAGAAAAAAAATAAACTGTCGAGAATTTTAAAGAACAGAAAGGCTAATCAATAATCAACAAATTTAGAATAGTATTAAAAAAAATAAGAAGACATTTGTGTGCATGAATAGCTTTAAAGATTTGTTAAAAATTTTATAGATTAGTAAAATTTGAGGATTTTTTGGAGTCTGTTTAAAAGGCATTTAATTCGTTGCAAGTTGGAAAATATTTAAATGAGTGCTTGGCAAATTAAAAAGACAGCTGAACTGGGAAAAGCAGATTTCTTCATTAAATGAAAACGTCATTTGAATAGTTAAAAGTAATAAAGTTGAACCAATTGAAAAATGCCAAGAAATATTTCAATGGCAATTTCAAGGACATTCCTGTGCTTCATAAAATATTGAAGAAAGTATGAATATAAAGATGAAAATGACATACTTGATATGAATGTAGTTGGTTAATAAATTTAATGATATCAGTTTAAAAGTTATCTAATCATTGCCAGAAGGGATAATCGAATCACAGAAATGTTGCAATACTGGATAAGAACTTTTAAAATGAATTTTAAAATGAATATACAGTTCAATATTACCAATTATTTAATTTGATAATCTTACATAGGTAATTTCATTAAAATCGACACCATGCAATATCGATTTTAATGAATTCTAATAGAAATAATTACTCATGTATTATATTTGAGTTAGATTAGATTGGTAAACAAATAAAATTACCTCATATTAAATTTGTTGCAGTGATATTGGTCAGTTTTATTTATCACGAAAATGTTGAAAAAAGTTTGTTAGAAATGAGTTAGACCGTCAAAGAAAAGAAGTGATCACTGAATAATGTTTTTATTAGCTTAAATAAAGTTTGCATTCATCATAAAGCAATGGAAAAATATTGGTAAATAGAAGAATATAATGTTGATTAATCGATTATTAAAGTTAGAACTATGTAATTTGAAAATCGATGAGTAATTTGAAAATTTTATCATTGATAAAGTTGATTTATCATTGTTAAGGTAAAGGAAAAGAAGATTAAAAAATTTATATTACTATTATAAGTGATTCAATGCGAGCAAATTATAATATCCAAATGAAAAAAGTAATAATACTCTAACAGCAATTGAAAGGAAATGTTAGGCGCTAATGTCACCAGTAATATGCAAATAATTTTAGTACATAAATAGAACAATTTTATTAGATTTGAATAGCAAATAAATGATATCAGCTGCTGAGCAAAATAAATGATTGGTGCTGTAACAATGGGAACAAGTACGAGAAACAGCTGTGAAAAGTAGTTTGAAAATACAATTGGACTAATCGATAGTGTCACAGTCGAGAGAAGTTGAAATGATGACAACGAGTTCATTGCGATACACCAATTACTATTGCAAAATTTAATGCTTAAAAATTTGAGAATAGTTAGAGTAAGAATTTCATTGTTTATTGCGATGAAACTTCTAGGAAAGAATTTTAAAACATCATTGAAGTGGATGAAATGACACCAAGTAATTGCAGTGGAATTTATATAATATTTGTTCCATTAATTTCTGATATATACGAAATAAGAAATTGAGCAGAAAATATGAGTATAATTAAAAAACTCTCGAAACATTGAGTAAAGTATGCAAATGCAAATTTAAAATTAAAAGTTATCATTTGAAAAATAAGATAGGAGTAAATACATTACTGGAATATGTAACTAAAATAATTACAGTTAATATAGTAAACTAAATAATAAATCTTAGTGCAAGATTTTAGAAAGAAAAAAATGATCTCACTTTTTAATTTTCAAATTTAAGTAAAATAATTGAAAGGAAAAAGTATTCAGCATTCAATATATTCTGGATGAGCAAAAAGGAAAATAAAATTACACCTTTTGAATTTTTTTCATTCTTTTAGGAAAAATTGACAAATTGTGAGAAAATTTGAAAGGAAATTGAAGAAAGGAGAGAAAAAATGTCAATTGCAAAGAACATGCATGTTTGAAAAGTTTTGAAATGAAAATTTTGAGCAAAACTTTTCAAAAAATTGAATTCATTTTTTTGAAATCGTTAAGAATTTCTCAAAAGTTTAAATGGTTAAGAATTTTGCATGTTTGAGAAAGTGTATTTCAAAATATTAGCATATATTTTTCAAAGGATACTTAAGTTATATTATCAATGTATAATGTGTAAACTTTTTCTTATAAATCAACTGATAACCATATTTAATCACTCTAATTTATTCTTACATCAGAATAACAAAAAAAAAAGAAAATAATAATAATAATTAAAAAAAAAGGAAAGTGAGAGTTGATCAGAGCAGATAAGTTCAACTTAATTTAAAAAAAATTTCTTAAGAATAACTTTGGAGAATATTTAGAGCAACAGATAAGGTATAAAAAGTTTAACCTTTTTTAATATTAGGACTTGCTAAAGTTATTAAAAGTAATGGAAGAGTTAATTTGGTTTGACTAATATATCAGATGTTATCAAAAGATGAAATGTCCTAACACTTCAACAAATGCATCAATATTTGAAGTTACTTTATTCATGATTCATACAACTCTACGTTACGTGTTTTTTGCGTACGTTTGTTTGCTAATATATTTATTAATGTTCAATTTTTCTCCTATTTATGGCACTCTGCAAAGAATTTCAGCAATGCGACAAATCAAGTATTAATTTCAAAATGATTTATGTATAATTTGCGTAATCAAATTTGATATAATATTTTTGACATAAAATTAGATAGAAATGAAAATTTGTAGAAACGAAAAAAATGGATCAAATTTTTAATTTTTATTTTTGAGACTATAAATTTTAGTATACTAAAGCACTTGAAGAATTCATCTATTTTTTAAATTTAACACAATGCAAAAAATTAAATTGATTTATGGCAATGAGCTAATCTGACACCTGGGTACCTGGATTAATTTAAAAGTAAATAAACGTGCTTGCAAATTATAATGAATTCAGTCCGGAAAAAAATTAAAAACCGGAGATCATCGATTAATATAAAAAATCACTTATTCTAATGAGTATGAATGATACGA